TCTATAGTCTAGTCTATAGTCTAGTCTATAGTCTAGTCTATAGTCTAGTCTATAGTCTAGTCTATAGTCTAGTCTATAGTCTAGTCTATAGTCTAGTCTATAGTCTAGTCTATAGTCTAGTCTATAGTCTAGTCTATAGTCTAGTCTATAGTCTAGTCTATAGTCTACGTCTATAGTCTAGTCTATAGTCTAGTCTATAGTCTAGTCTACTCACCGATCTAGTCTATAGTCTAGTCTATAGTCTAGTCCTATAGTCTAGTCTATAGTCTAGTCTATAGTCTAGTCTATAGTCTAGTCTATAGGTCTAGTCTATAGTCTAGTCTATAGTCTAGTCTATAGTTCTAGTCTATAGTCTAGTCTATAGTCTAGTCTATAGTCTAGTCTATAGTCTAGTCTATAGTCTAGTCTATAGTCTAGTCTATAGTCTAGTCTATAGTCTAGTCTATCTAGTCTATAGTCTAGTCTATAGTTCTGTCTATAGTCTAGTCTATAGTCTAGTCTATAGTCTAGTCTATAGTCTAGTCTATAGTCTAGTCTATAGTCTAGTCTATAGTCTAGTCTATAGTCTAGTCTATAGTCTAGTCTATAGTCTAGTCTATAGTCTAGTCTATAGTCTAGGTCTATAGTCTAGGTCTATAGTCTAGTCTATAGTCTAGTCTATAGTCTAGTCTATAGTCTAGTCTATAGTCTAGTCTATAGTCTAGTCTATAGTCTAGTCTATAGTCTAGTCTATAGTCTAGTCTATAGTCTAGTCTATAGTCTAGTCTATAGTCTAGTCTATAGTCTAGTCTATAGGTCTAGTCTATAGTCTAGTCTATAGTCTAGTCTATAGTCTAGTCTATAGTCTAGTCTACAGTCTCGTCTATAGTCTAGTCTATAGTCTCGTCTATAGTCTAGTCTATAGTCTAGTCTATAGTCTAGTCTATAGTCTAGTCTATAGTCTCGTCTATAGTCTAGTCTATAGTCTAGTCTATAGTCTAGTCTATAGTCTAGTCTATAGTCTAGTCTATAGTCTAGTCTATAGTCTAGTCTATAGTCTAGTCTATAGTCTAGTCTATAGTCTAGTCTATAGTCTAGTCTATAGTCTAGTCTGTAGTCTAGTCTATAGTCTAGTCTATAGTCTAGTATATAGTCTAGTCGATAGTCTAGTCTATAGTCTAGTCTATAGTCTAGTCTATAGTCTAGTCTATAGTCTAGTCTATAGTCTAGTCTATAGTCTAGTCTATAGTCTAGTCTATAGTCTAGTCTATAGTCTAGTCTATAGTCTAGTCTATAGTCTAGTCTATAGTCTAGTCTATAGTCTAGTCTATAGTCTAGTCTATAGTCTAGTCTATAGTCTAGTCTATAGTCTAGTCTATAGTCTAGTCTATAGTCTAGTCTATAGTCTCGTCTATAGTCTAGTCTATAGTCTAGTCTATAGTCTAGTCTATAGTCTAGTCTATAGTCTAGTTTTAATTTTTTCATTAAATCTTTCTGCTAGGTTTTCGCTTCCAGACTTAAGTTCTAAAAGAAGGTCCCCTTTCTGGGTTCTTCGAATTTTGTTTACCTCATCACCTAGTTCTTTTAGTTCAGGGTCTGCCCTAATTTTCTTTAAAATATCAGCGTAAGAGATATCGTTTTTGGCAGATATTATCATAGTATCTGGCCGAGGCTTGCGGGATCTCGTATTCTTTTTCTTCTTAACTATAGCCCATCCGGCTTCTAGGTTATCCGACTCTGGCTTTCTACTAGGGAGTTCTTCTAGTGGAGTTAGTGTTGTCCTATTTTGTGGAAGGCTTTGCTTCAGTCTTTTCGGCGTCGGCATTTTTGGAGCTGTTTTGTCTTCTAAATTTCTTTTCGATTCCCTTTTGGACGGCCATGCTATTGGTGATGTCTGCATGGACTGTTCCACTTCTTGTCGTGGTGATGTCTGCGTGGACTGTTCTACTTCTTGTCGGTATGTCATATTTATACCATTACGTAGTTCTTCTCTTGTTTTATTATACATAGCTCGGATTGCGGTCAATTGATCTTTAATGGCATTGTGTACGTTGTTTTTGGGTTTTACAAAGTCCATCAAATCAACAATTAAGTTCCCTAAAAGGCAGAATGACTCTGAAGGCTGTGCATTATCACTAATTGCCTCTTCTTGAGTCGTGTTTTCTTTGCTGCTAGTAGTTTGCGGTGGAGTTCTTTTTGTAGCCGCACTTCTTTGGAAAGGGTTTATTTGATTTTTCCCACCTTGATTTGTAGTACCACTGCGAGAAAAACTGCTCACTGGAGTAAAATAGTGTTCCTGTCCACCAATAGGTTGGTCGCTATTTTCTCCCCCTTTATTGCACTCCTTCTGGTGATTGTTGCTTGTAGCATTATCTGTTACCTTAGCCAAGCTTACCGGGGTAACATTGCAGGCGCTGGATTTCGACGACTGGTAGCCTGCTCGCGCACTACCCAAAGCCGCCGGTACTGGGGTCATTACTCCCTGCACCGTAATTGAATTTTCCTTATTAAACTTTTCCATGTTTGTTTTGTTATTCCGGGATCCTACCCGTAGCGTTTTTGACCTAACCGCCAGGATATTGATTCGCAGCCGCCCCTTACTTGGGAAACAGACGCTGACCAGAGAGCCGTTCAATATGAAACAGACGCTTCTGGGTTTAAATATGACTAGAGGAACCACGAAGACGTCACTCTTCTAATTACACCTCTCTAGAGGGTACCTCTTGTGGGGGATGCTTACTTACTGGCGGCATCTAATCGCCATGTCACAGAATCGTCATTAGGCTCATGTAACCTTTTTCTAGCACGCCCTCGAATTCTGCCGCTCATGGTCGGGGACTGCTTATCTATCGCAGCTGGCCTACATATTTGTAGGTCGTTCAGCTATCCGCCACCTGCTGACCCCGATAGTAGCCAGAGCCACGGCCCTAGACTATAGTCTAGTCTATAGTCTAGTCTATAGTCTAGTCTATAGTCTAGTCTATAGTCTAGTCTATAGTCTAGTCTATAGTCTAGTCTATAGTCTAGTCTATAGTCTAGTCTATAGTCTAGTCTATAGTCTAGTCTATAGTCTAGTCTATAGTCTAGTCTATAGTCTAGTCTATAGTCTAGTCTGTAGTCTAGTCTGTAGTCTAGTCTATAGTCTAGTCTGTAGTCTAGTCTATAGTCTAGTCTATAGTCTAGTCTATAGTCTAGTCTATAGTCTAGTCTATAGTCTAGTCTATAGTCTAGTCTATAGTCTAGTCTATAGTCTAGTCTATAGTCTAGTCTATAGTCTAGTCTATAGTCTAGTCTATAGTCTAGTCTATAGTCTAGTCTATAGTCTAGTCTATAGTCTAGTCTATAGTCTAGTCTATAGTCTAGTCTATAGTCTAGTCTATAGTCTAGTCTATAGTCTAGTCTATAGTCTAGTCTATAGTCTAGTCTATAGTCTAGTCTATAGTCTAGTCTATAGTCTAGTCTATAGTCTAGTCTATAGTCTAGTCTATAGTCTAGTCTATAGTCTAGTCTATAGTCTAGTCTATAGTCTAGTCTATAGTCTAGTCTATAGTCTAGTCTAGTCTAGTCTATAGTCTAGTCTATAGTCTAGTCTATAGTCTAGTCTATAGTCTAGTCTATAGTCTAGTCTATAGTCTAGTCTATAGTCTAGTCTATAGTCTAGTCTATAGTCTAGTCTATAGTCTAGTCTATAGTCTAGTCTATACGTCTACAGTCTAGTCTATAGTCTAGTCTATTAGTCTAGTCTATAGTCTAGTCTATAGTCTAGTCTATAGTCTAGTCTATAGTCTAGGTCTACAGTCTCGTCTATAGTCTAGTCTATAGTCTCGTCTATAGTCTCGTCTATAGTCTAGTCTATAGTCTAGTCTATAGTCTAGTCTATAGTCTCGTCTATAGTCTAGTCTATAGTCTAGTCTATAGTCTAGTCTATAGTCTAGTCTATAGTCTAGTCTATAGTCTAGTCTATAGTCTAGTCTATAGTCTAGTCTAGTCTATAGTCTAGTCTATAGTCTAGTCTACAGTCTAGTCTATAGTCTAGTCTATAGTCTAGTCTATAGTCTAGTCTATAGTCTAGTCTATGGTCTAGTCTACAGTCTAGTCTATAGTCTAGTCTATAGTCCAGTCTATAGTCCAGTCTATAGTCTGGTCTATAGTCTGGACTGTAGTCTAGTATATAGTCTGGACTATAGTCTAGTCAATAGTCTAGACTATTTTCTACAGTCAAGTCTATAATCTGGACTATAGTCTAGCCTGTAATATTTAATATAGTATAGTCAATTTGTAGAATAATAAACTATGTAGTCTACAACAATAGTCGTGCCAACTGTGTGGACTATAGTCTATATTTTGCGAAATACATATATTCTAGTATATAATCTGGATTATAGTTTAGTCTATATTCTGTTTTAGGATTTAATCCATATTTTGGACTACAGTCTAATCTGAACTCTAGTACTTTTTATCGTCCTCTCTCTCTATAGTTCAGACTATAGTCTGGTCAGAAGTTTGTACTATCAGTTTATGGCTGATATATAGTCTATGTTATATACTATAGTGGGGACTATGGACTATTGTGTAGACTATAAAAAAACATATACATTGGACATTATGGTCTATACTTTGATCTTATAGTAGGACACTTATATATTATCGGTTATAGACCCGATTTTTGTATGTTCTAAAGTTTCGCCTATAGACCATTGTATATTACTGGCCTTAATTCGGACTGAGATTGTTATATAGTGCATTCTATAGTCATACTATCGACAATAATTTATTCTATTTACGAAATATACTGTACTTCATTTTACATAAACCTATTATGTTCTATAATTTATTCTATAGTCTTTTATATAGTCTTATCTATGGCCATTTCTAAAGTCCCGATTATAGTCAATTCTGTAGTATCGACCATAGTACATTGATTACTAATTTATCATTTGTAAATCCTAGAACACTAAATTATGATTAGCATTATACATATGTATATGATAATAATATTCCAAATTTGTTTCTTATTCCAGGATGTATTAAACAAACGCTTAGACAAACGTGTTGATGCCATGTTGGAACAGGGTCTACTGCGTGAAATACGGGCATTTCATAATGAGCATAATGTGAACAATAGGTACGATATGTAAACAAATACATTTATTATTTCATTCAACTATCTAATTTTTTCTATCATGTATCGATCCATCCATGCTTTCATTCAATAAAGTTAGAATGTACATATGTATGTATGAATGTATGTGTGTATATGTAGAAATTTCAAAAGGTACATTTACATCAATGAGTGAATGAATAAATGTTTGGCAAACAAAAAGCCATTAATCATATTATTTTTCTACTCATGTATCCATGCGATACATATTGAAATACATACCATACATACATATGTTTATATGGTTGTATTTCTGTATATTTATGCTACGACGAGTATCTAAGCTTTATAATAAAACTTTTATTCTTTACTCTTATTTTCTTTTATTTTCGGCTAATCATTTTCTATAAATCATTTATTGTATGCTCAATGAAAATGATAAATTCTTTTTGAATAAATCAATGTTGTGCTCCTCAAACTTATTCTATATTCTGCCATCAACAATAACAACTACAACATTTACTACTGTTTGCTAAATTATGATTTAAGTATTTCGGGGAATACTTGCCATACAACAAGCGCATCAGCATCCTCATCTTCATCATCTTCAACTTATACTAAGGGCGTATTACAAACGATTGGATTCAAAGAATTTATACCATATTTAGAGCAATTTAATGCGGCAAATGATCAAAAAATTGAAACATATTTACAAGCGAATGCTTATAAAATGCCAACCGAAGGTAAGTTGTGTATCTATTGTAATATAATTCACTTTTATTTTTGTGCAAAAATTATATAGTAAAAAAATATTTTCCAATTTCCGGACTTAGCAGAATATAGTCGAGATTATCGAATAGAACTCCTGACTAGAGAATAGATTATATTGGAAACTATAGTCGCAGCAATAGAATAAACTAATAGTAAATAAAATATTATTGACAAAATTATAGAATAGACTAAAATTGGTGTCAAAGAATGAAATGTAGTCGAGATTATAGATTAGAGTATAGTCAGATTGTAGAATAGACTTTTATCTATTCTATACAATATACATCAGTCTATTCTTTAGAATTGACTGTAGATGTGTCTAAAGAATAGACTAAGGTTGATACTAAAAAATATACTATGCTCAAGACTATAAAATAGTGTATACTTAAGACTTTAGATGCAGCCATAGAATAGACTTAATCGAGGTCATAGAATAAGATATAATCGAGATTATGGAAGAGACTATAGTCAAGAATATAGTCTCAAAATAAATAATAAATACAACATGCTATACTATTGAATACATTATAATCAAGACTGGAATAAACAATACCTTAGACTATAGTCGGGACTGCACAGTAAATATTAGTAGTCTTTAAAATAGTGTTAGATTATAGAATAGATTATGGCCGAGAGTCGAGGACATATTCGCAGCCGTAGAACGGACTATAATCGAGACAATAATCCGAATAATGCAATAGACTAAAGAAACTATAGAAGAGACTAAAGTTATTCTCGAATAGACTAAGGTCGAGACTGAAACATACAATATAATCGGGACTACAATCAAGGAAAAAAACTTTAATTAAGTTTAATAAGTTAGTTAGTTAGTTAGTTAGTTAGTTAGTTAGTTATTTAGTTAGTTAGTTAGTTAGTTAGTTAGTTAGTTAGTTAGTTAGTTAGTTAGTTAGTAGTTAGTTAGTTAGTTAGTTAGTTAGTTAGTTAGTTAGTAGTTAGTTAGTTAGTTAGTTAGTTAGTTAGTTAGTTAGTTAGTTAGTTAGTAGTTAGTTAGTTAGTAGTTAGTTAGTTAGTTAGTTAGTTAGTTAGTTAGTTAGTTAGTTAGTAGTTAGTTAGTTAGTTAGTTAGTTAGTTAGTTAGTTAGTTAGTTAGTTAGTTAGTTAGTTAGTTAGTTAGTTAGTTAGTTAGTTAGTTAGTTAGTTAGTTAGTTAGTTAGTTAGTTAGTTAGTTAGTTAGTTAGTTAGTTAGTTAGTTAGTTCGTTAGTTAGTTCGTTAGTTAGTTAGTTAGTTAGTTAGTTAGTTAGTTAGTTAGTTAATTTACCTAACTAACCTAGACCTCCATCGGGGCTTTTGTTCGTTATGCTGGGAATCAGACTAAACACTAAGTTACCGAAGGACAAATTCCAGAATATATGTATAGTCCACAATATAAAATAGCCTATTGTCTAAACATTAAATAATCGTACAGCCGACTAACATTAGCTCGCACAGTGGGGCAGAATGGAAATTTTTTGGAAATAAATCTGGCATTTCTAAACGGCTGATCCGATCGGAATAAAATTTGGCGTGAGCGTAGCCAAGGAGCATTCGAGTTTAAGTTTTGAAGATGAACCCTGCAGATGCCCCAGGGACGGCGCTGTGGCGGCTCAAAGTAGGGTACCTACGTCATGTAAAATTTTTAAACTCGTGCCATTTTTTTGTTTTTCACCCAAATACAAAGATGTTTATATTTTGTCAAAGCGCTCGACGAGATCTTGAAAAAACATGCTTGGACATACTACTTATCTCTTATAATATCCGAGTTATAGGCATTTAAAAATTTAGTGATACAAAATTTACCATACCTTGGTCCGCCTTTTTTTGAATACCGGGCGTAATTTTGAACCAAATGGACTCAATTTTTTCTTGTTAGTTAGACAACAAAATTTCCAATAATATACAAAAAATTTCAGATCAATATCGTTTACAGATCCAAAAATATACGTTTTTTAATTTAAAAATTCAAAAAATTTTAGATTTTTGGCGTTTTTTTGCCAAAAATGTGTCTTAACTCTTTTATTAATAAAATAAAATTTTTATTAAGAACATATAATAATTTTATAGTTTTCTAAAAGGTATCTTTACGCAGAAGGCTTTGGCGTAAAAAACTTGTCCTATTTTTTGAAAATGTTGCCACTGCGTCCTTCCGAATATGACCTATTTTTTATCAAAACTTCAACTTTGGGCGACATGTTCTAAAATCCCAAAGCTGGGATCAGAAAACTGAAAGCAGTTTTGGAAACCTCAATATGTTTTCTATTTACTCCAAAAGTATTTTCCCAGCCCTGAAAGAAATGTGGACCCTATGGGCAAAAAAGTAAAAAATCCCATTTTTGGGATTTTCATTCCTATTTTTGGGAATTGCGGGATGCCCTTTGACCTTTTCAATTTTTTTTTTGCATATTCTTATTTGAAATGTCAAATTTAACAAGCGTTGAAAATTTCATTGAGTTTTGTTCATAAATAAAGATTTTGTCATATATTACATATTTGTTTAATTTCTAAAACTATGATTTATATCAAAATTTTAATAGGATCGCAGATAGCTACAACAATTTAGTCCATATTTATCCCTTAATATCATTTTTTAGTTAGATATGGAAATTCTCGACCCTTTACAAAAAATTTCAAGCCAGTATCTCAATTACATTCAAAAATATGTTCATTTAAACCTGTGTCCTTTAATTTCATCTTTTTCATATTTTAGTATTAAGTATGACAGAACATACATTTGGTGTTGAATAAAATATTTGGACAATTTTTAAAAATTATTTAGTTAATTATTTTATTATAATATTGTATATAAAATAAAAAAAATTATAATTTTATTATGAGCCACGCACAACAACACCTAAATCACCCCACACAAATTACCTTTCCCGCCCACCGAAATATAAAACACAATTTAATACAATATCATCAGTTAGTATAATAGCTTTTTTTATTTGAACTGTTTATCTTAAACATAATACAATTAATTCTTACAACCTACTTATATAGTTAATTCCTAACACTACTTATTTTCTATAAAATAATCTGTCATATCGGTATACATATCCAGAAGGTAATATAAGTCCTTTAAATCATCCTTGTTTTGAGATGATAGAGTTTCATAACAAATCCATCTTTTTCGCATAGTTGAAAGAACAGGATCAGAAGATAGAAGTAAACTATTAAAAATATCTTCATTCTGTGATTGCCTGGAGCATTTTCTTGAGCTGAATAGTTGAACATGCTTAAAATCTCGATTCCTCGCTTCCTGGGCTTCTTCTGTTAACTCTCCAAGTGGAAGAATATTCGATTCAATTATTATTTGACCATGACACAATACTTTGTGTACTGTTGGTGTTAGTTCCCTCTATGGATACAGAGATACAAGTAATTTAGAAATTTCAGATGTGTATTCCCCAAATCGATTTTCATTAATTTTATGTTTACTATTCAGTGCCATTAAAATAGTTTTAACTCTTCGAAGCAACTCCTTGTCGATTCCAGTTATTTTTGAAGTAATTTCAAAATCACGAAAAAACCTTCTCGACGTATTACCGTCATTTGTACTACCGCAAATTGAAAGTGGTTTGTCGATGTTTAATCCCATCTGAACTTTAAATTCTTCTTGGATTCTGCTTTTTTCCGCAGCTCTCAGTTCTTTCAATTCTTCATTATTTTTTGTTGATTTAGTAGGATAGTTTGTTTTTTTTCCTGGATCGCCTTGTATGATGGTAATATATTGTGTCCTTTTTCATGCAGAGCTTTCCTTAATATTTGGTACTTATTTCGACTGAGACCCAGTTCCAACATAAGCGCTATTGCTTCCTCTTCAGTAAAATTTGATTATGATGTTGGAGTTGGTATACTTTCCACAATTCGCTTAAGTCGTTTTGGTGATGCATTAGGAAGAATAGTTGCAATATGTACGACATCCATATGTTGGTTTTCCTTTTTCAGCATTTCGTTAAATGTATCAGCAATTTCCTCATTTGAGATTGAAAAAAGTTTTTGTGTGACCCTCTTTTTTTTACCTTGAACATAAGTCTTCGTATGACTTGCAAGGCGCTCCTATTGATGTGTTGTTAGTTGAGATTTCCGTAGTAGTTTCCATCCAACTACAAAATTTTAATCGAAATTTCTTTTGATTTCCATCCACAGACTTACTTTTTACATCAAAAAGTTTTAAAAAGTTTTCAATTTTTGATATGCCTGTTTTGTCTACTTTTCTACTATATGTAGTTTTTATATAATTTGAAATGTCTTCAATTCTTTCTGGACCTTTTGAAGATATACTCCATAAAACGGAACACAACTCTTCGTACTTTAATGTAATCTTCATTGTAGATTTATTAAATATGGTACTTAAAATCTGAGAAGTTTACTTATATACCAATTCTTGTCATTTCCGATACAGGTATTCCAAAGTAAAAAATTACGAATTGTCTACCTATTAACATTTAGGACTATATTACTATAACCTGTAATTCAGTCATTGATATTTCTTATTAGTGAATGAATCGAAATTATCATTACCTGTATATTTTTACCTACATGATCATAAACGAAACAGAACGAAATGATCTGTCGAAAAAATTTAGGTAAAAAATAGTTATACATTTTTGAAAATTTAAGCATAATAGGACCTTTCAATTATAACAAATAGAAAAATAGGTAAATATAAGTTTTAAATATGTGCTGTCATACTTAATACTAAAATATGAAAAAGATGAAATTAAAGGACACAGGTTTAAATGAACATATTTTTGAATGTAATTGAGTATTGGCTTGAAATTTTTTGTAAAGGGTCGAGAATTTCCATATCTAACTAAAAAATGATATTAAGGGATAAATATGGACTAAATTGTTGTAGCTATCTGCGATCCTATTAAAATTTTGATATAAATCATAGTTTTAGAAATTAAACAAATATGTAATATATGACAAAATCTTTATTTATGAACAAAACTCAATGAAATTTTCAACGCTTGTTAAATTTGACATTTCAAATAAGAATATGCAAAAAAAAAAATTGAAAAGGTCAAAGGGCATCCCGCAATTCCCAAAAATAGGAATGAAAATCCCAAAAATGGGATTTTTTTACTTTTTTGCCCATAGGGTCCACATTTCTTTCAGGGCTGGGAAAATACTTTTGGAGTAAATAGAAAACATATTGAGGTTTCCAAAACTGCTTTCAGTTTTCTGATCCCAGCTTTGGGATTTTAGAACATGTCGCCCAAAGTTGAAGTTTTGATAAAAAATAGGTCATATTCGGAAGGACGCAGTGGCAACATTTTCAAAAAATAGGACAAGTTTTTTACGCCAAAGCCTTCTGCGTAAAGATACCTTTTAGAAAACTATAAAATTATTATATGTTCTTAATAAAAATTTTATTTTATTAATAAAAGAGTTAAGACACATTTTTGGCAAAAAAACGCCAAAAATCTAAAATTTTTTGAATTTTTAAATTAAAAAACGTATATTTTTGGATCTGTAAACGATATTGATCTGAAATTTTTTGTATATTATTGGAAATTTTGTTGTCTAACTAACAAGAAAAAACTGAGTCCATTTGGTCCAAAATTACGCCCGGTATTCAAAAAAAGGCGGACCAAGGTATGGTAAATTTTGTATCACTAAATTTTTAAATGCCTATAACTCGGATATTATAAGAGATAAGTAGTATGTCCAAGCATGTTTTTTCAAGATCTCGTCGAGCGCTTTCACAAAATATAAAAATCTTTGTATTTGGGTGAAAAACAAAAAAATGGCACGAGTTTAAAAATTTTACATGTCGTAGGTACCCTACTTTGAGCCGCCACAGCGCCGTCCCTGGGGCATCTGCATGGTTCATCTTCAAAACTTAAACTCGAATACTCCTTGGCTACGCTCACGCCAAATTTTATCCCGATCGGATCAGCCGTTTAGAAATGCCAGATTTATTTCCAAAAAATTTCCATTCTGCCCCACTGTGGCTCGTTAGTTATTAATGTTATAGATTATATAGCAGTTAAACATTTAAACAAATCAAACCGCAGACTTTGGATATAAAACTTAGAATATTCTTAAATTATAAAAAACCCTGCAAGCTATTTACTTGATTTTCAACACATCTAATTTAAACATTTCTATTGACACTAATAAATCTAATAAATTCCCATAAAACTCTTACACTATTAAGCAAAAAATAAATCCCACACAGTAAATCAAAAGTTATGATTTAATATACCAAGTTCTGGTAAATTCACAATTCAAAATAAATTATTTAAATTTCTTAAGCACAGTATGAGTTCTTTTGAGTTTTTTTTTATTACTTTTTAAACTCTCTATTACAGAACAATTTAAATCATATGCCGGTTCAATAAACGAACTGCACGATGCTGAAGATGTAAACTTGAAAGATCGTAAAGATCATTTGCCTCCAGGGTTGGATGTTTTAAATGCCTGTTTAAATGAATTGAAATTAGTAACACGTCGTTATTCGAAAAAACAAATTAAATGGATTAATAATCGTTTCTTGGCCAGCAGAGATCGTCAAGTACCCGATCTTTATGAATTGGATACGAGTGATGTTAGTCAGTGGCATGAAAGAGTTTATTCACCGGCTGTTACCATAATTGAAGCTTATCGCAATGGCCAAGTGTGTGAAATAGAGCCCATGCAGAAGAGACAACATCCCGGTGCGGGTTTAAATGAAGAGGTGAGTTTGGAAAGATTTTGAGGAATCTCAGATAAATTTAATGATTTTTTTATATATTTCACCTGCAGACTTCTAACTTTTGCACTGTGTGTGAACGTCATTTTATCGGTGAATATCAATGGCAGTTGCATTTAAAATCCAACAAACACAAAAAACGTAAAGAGGGTCTCCGGAAGAAAACCGAGGCCACAAATACCCCTCAAGACTTGAAAGAACAATAAAACATTTTTTTTTTCAAAATTTATTGAATATTTAATATTTGTTGCAAATATTAAATTAAATACATTTTATTTTATTGTCAATTTTTTATTTGCTTTACAATTATTGTATAGTTTTATGTTTTTTTTTTACATAAATAAAGTAAATTATTGAAATAAAATTTTAATAAATTTAACAAAAAAATGAAAAACACATACATATATTTTTAAGGTTATGATATAAAGTTTTGATTTCAGTTTCAGTTTTTCTTTAAACAATTTTCAACAGTAAGTAATTTAATATTTTTAAAACATTTCCTTTAATTTATATATATAGAATATATAATAATAAATATAATTAATACTTGATTTTTAGGGGATTAAATAATTATAGTTTTTAACACTTTTTTCATATTAAATATAATTTTTTTTATTTCAACTTTTTTTTATTTCTGAGGGTGGTTTATTTTAAATAATTATATTTTTTATAAATTTTACTTTTTTAGTTTAAAGTATACATACATTTAACATTTATTAACATTAGTTTAAATCGGTTTTTATATTATTCAATAGATTATTTAGTTAAATGTTATATTCACCAACATATCAAAAGTTTCGGAAAAGTCGTCTTTTAGCCATATATCGGGGAATATAACAGTTTTTATTTATGATAGTATGATGTCAAAAAAAAAAAATATGTTTAAACTCTGCACCATATATAGAAATTTAATTAAAACACAACCCAGCAAATTATACATTTTGTAATTAAAATATGTATGTACTTTATGGTGTAAAGTAGTTTACAGTCGATTTGACCGACTTTTTATGATAACATATATAATGATATATATTATTTATAGATATTTATGTTTATGATAAATTTGAATTTTAATAAATTAACAATTTTTATTTTATTACCAATTATATGTATTAATGAATCACATTTTATAAGCTATTAAAAATAACATTTAGATTTTTTTTGGATAAAATTGATATGATGATATAATGATCATAGTTTTTTTAGACTTTTATCAGTCCGACCGAAACGCCCTGAAGTATACTACACGTAATTGAAATTGAAAAAATATACATTTCAAAGAAAAATATTATAAAAATCTTAAATAATTTAAACAATGAATATTATATATACAGTCAGACTTGATAAAGTATTTTAAATAATGATATAAATAATTTTATTAAAAATTTTACCAATATGATATTATGATGTCAAATTAATGTCGATCACTATTAAAGAAGTTATCGTTTTTTTCTTCTTTCTTGCTAACTAAGGAAAACTTTTGTTTAAGCATAAATATCACAATTAAATGGGAAAATTTATAAATATGACTTAAACTAAATCTAGATCGTTTATCATAAAATACTAAATTTCAAAATTAAAAAAAAAATATTAAAAAGATATTTGCAAAAACAACATAAATTAAATAATAATATAGTAAACAATTCAAGTTCATTAACAACTATAGATATGCGAAAGTTATTGGTATTATTTTGATACCCTACACCAAATAAAGAAGTTATGATAACTAAATAAACAAACATTAATTTATGTTGGAAATGAGTAATTCAAAGAAGTGATTAGCTTTCTACTTTAGTCAGATCTATTGCCAAGACTACAGATTTATCTATAGTCAAGACTATAGAACATTCTATAGTAAAGACTATCCCTGATCTGTAGACAAGATTGATCTAAAATCAATTATATGGACTGATCTATAGCAAAGTCTATAGACTGATACATAGTCAAGATATTAGAATGATGTACAGTCAAGACTATAGACTAATCTCTAGTAAAGATCAAATACTACAGTTTAATTCATAATCATGAATATATAGCTAATCTCAAGTCAAGCCTATAAACTGGCCTGTACTAAAGTCTACTAAAGACTAATATATAGTCAATTCTAACTACAGACTAATCTATAGTGAATATCATTAACAGATCTATAATCTATTGATCTATGTTTAAGACTGTAGGCATTATTGACACAAGACTATAGACATATCCATTGTCAATATACTAAAAACAGTTAATATTATAGACGGATATAGACTATAGTCGGCAAATGTGTGACTGATCTGTAGACTATAGACTTATTTACATTTAAGACAACAAATCTAGAGTTGAGTCTATATATTGATATAATCTATTAAAATATATAGATTTATACATAATCAAGATATATACACTGACCTAAAGCCAAGACTGATCTATTGCCAAGACTACAGATCTATTCTAATCGTTTTCATCTATATCTATAGGAAATACCACAAACTGATAATACATATAATCAAGACAATAAGTAAATCTATAATCAAGACGATAAACTGATCTATAAACAAAACTATAGACTGATCTATAGACAAGACTTTAAACCGTTTTATAGTCAAGACTATAACCTGATCTATAGACAAGACTATAAACAGTCCTCTAGTTATGACATAAGACTGATTGATTGCCAAGACTACCCAATGATCTAGAATCAAGAATGTACAATGCTATAAGATCAAGACATTAAACTTATCCAACCTAAGGCTGATCTAAAGTCAAGACTAACTCTGTTCTTAAAGCAAGACGGATCTATAGTTAAACTATTGACTGATCTATGTATATATTTAGTAATATGGGCTGATCTAAAGTCAAGTCTATAGATTGATAATAGCAAAGTCTATAGACAGAAATATAGTTAACACAATAGCATCAATAAAGATCTATATTCAAGACTGTATAGGTAAGTCTACAGTGAAGACTTTGGACTGATTTATAGTCTATAATGTAGGCTTCAATCAACACTATAGGCATATTGTCAAGAAATGTAGTAAACTACAATTAAGACTATTGACTGATAAAGTCAGCATATATGGATGCAGCTTTAGAAAGATCTGTAGACTGATCTACATTTAAGGCTAATAGAGTATAGTGTATACTGATATATTTACTAATCTATAAAAGTCTATATATAGATATAGTAAAGAGAATAGATTTATTTTTAGACTATAGAATTTGCCAGTACTATAGACTATGATATCAGGACTATAGACAGATTCATAGTTAAAACTATAGACTGATCTATAGCGAAGACTATGGCTGATCTATACTGAGAACTATAGACAGATATATTGTCAAAACTATAAACTAAACTATGTTAAGACTGATATAAAGTCAGATTATAGAAGATTATAGATTGATTTTAAAGACTATGTACTAATCTAAAGTCAAATCTATATATAAAAGCAAAATATTCTAAAAATATATGTAATAAACAGTACATATTTCGTGTAGGGCATCTTAAAATTAATATATTTTAAATTTGATTAATGTTCGTATTACTGCATGTATGTATATTATATGTAATAATATGAATATTTGTTATAAGATATGTTACTTCCACTTAAGTATTATTAAATTGCATTCGAAATGATTTTTTACGTTATAATAAATTCTTGTATATTACAAAACATAAAGCTTAAATGCAAATATTTTAGTCAGCAAATAACAAAAACATATAGTTAAAAGAACCCAGCAGTTCAACAAGTAGTCAATGCAATCGTAAAACACAATAAACATTTATATGTTTTAGATCATTTGTCACAAATTCACTCTTTGTTATTGTACTTCGGATCAGTCATCTGAATATTTATTTATTTATATCTGAAGTGGCAAATAACTTCATATTAGGACAAGCTCATGGCTAATACTGTAGCCGTTGATAGAATAAAATTTCAAGTACCGTCTGCCCGAACTGCTGGGATTTAATAAAATTATAAACTTTTTATTTTCTGTTGCAAATTTAAAGCAATATTTTAACATAATATTTCATAAATGTTTTGAATTTTTTTAAATAAGGTATGTCACTGTGTATCGAGTGAAAATTTAATGAATGTTATTTATATTTTTTTAGTTATTACTATTTTTTTATAAATATATTATAATATTCTTTAAATGGCTGATGAAACCAATATTTGGTTTATGTATATATAATTATTATCATTATTATTCTTTTATTTCTTAGGGTTTTTAACATTATTAATAAGTTTTTATTTTATTTTGTACAGTCTTCATTGACTAAATAGTTTTTTTATTCTTTGGTTTTGTAAATTTTCTAAAAAGAACTATTAAATACATTATTTGTCTTTATGTTAAAATTTAACATTATGTTATTTGTGAAATTATTGTCTTTGGTTTGGTTTTTGTAGTAATTAATAAAATAAATGTTTCAATTTATTGTCTTTGGTTTAAATATAAATGATATTTATGAGAGATAAATAAATAAATGTTGCAAGTATAGTTTAAAATCTAGTCTATGGTCAAGCCTATAGTCCAGACTAGTCTATAGTCCAGTGTATAGTCAAGTCTATAGTCTAGTCTATAGTCTAGTCTATAGTCTAGTCTATAGTTTATTCTATAGTTTAGTCTATAGTCTAGTCTATAGTCTCGTCTATAGTCTAGTCTATAGTCTAGTCTATAGTCTAGTCTATAATCTAGTCTATAGTCTAGTCTATAGTCTAGTCTATAGTCTAGTCTATAGTCTAGTCTATAGTCTAGTCTATAGTCTAGTCTATAGTCTAGTCTATAGTCTAGTCTATAGTCTAGTCTATAGTCTAGTCTATAGTCTAGTCTATAGTCTAGTCTATAGTCTAGTCTATAGTCTAGTCTATAGTCTAGTCTATAGTCTAGTCTATAGTCTAGTCTATAGTCTAGTCTATAGTCTAGTCTATAGTCTAGTCTATAGTCTAGTCTATAGTCCAGTCTATAGTCAAGTCTATAGTCTAGTCTATAGTCTAGTCTATAGTTTATTCTATAGTTTAGTCTATAGTCTAGTCTATAGTTTATTCTATAGTTTAGTCTATAGTCTAGACTAAACTATAGAATAAACTATAGACTAGACTATAGACTAAACTATAGAATAAACTATAGACTAGACTATAGACTAGACTATAGACTAGACTATAGACTTGACTATAGACTGGACTATAGACTAGTCTATAGTCTAGTCTATAGTCTAGTCTATAGTCTAGTCTATAGTCTAGTCTATAGTCTAGTCTATAGTCTAGTCTATAGTCTAGTCTATAGTCTAGTCTATAGTCTAGTCTATAGTCTAGTCTATAGTCTAGTCTATAGTCTAGTCTATAGTCTAGTCTATAGTCTAGTCTATAGTCTAGTCTATAGTCTAGTCTATAGTCTAGTCTATAGTCTAGTCTATAGTCTAGTCTATAGTCTAGTCTATAGTCTAGTCTATAGTCTAGTCTATAGTCTAGTCTATAGTCTAGTCTATAGTCTAGTCTAGTCTATAGTCTAGTCTATAGTCTAGTCTATAGTCTAGTCTATAGTCTAGTCCAAAGTCTAGTCTATAGTCTAGTCTTGTCTAAGTCTATAGTAATATCTACATTGTTCTTCGGACTAACCGTTTGGAAGTTAGAGATATATTTCCCACCTTTTCTTTTATATTCCACTGTACATCATAAAAAAAACAAATATGAACAAGAAGATCCAAGGTTCTATTAACTCTCTATAGAAAGCTGATAACTGAATTTTCTAGTTATCAAAAATATATATTTCAACAACAACTTGCAACATTTGTAAAAAAACTTAATAAAATCGGTGGCGATATTATTCTTGTTGGGAATTTTTCACTTTTTTTTTAAACATAAATCATATTTGGAACTGTAATACACTGTTATAAAGTTTATATAATAAATATAATTAGTATAGATAGATACATACATATCATAAATATATAACAGAAGAATATTTCATGTCTAAATTTAAGGAGTATTTACAAAGATTTATGTTTCTATATATAAAATAATAATATGCATGGGTTTGTTTGGTAGTGTCTCTATTAGTTTTTGCTTTCTCGAATATTGCCTATAGTGTAATATTTATGTAGATTCGTTTTATAAACTATTGATTAACTTAAAGTTAACTAAGGTAATTGTTGTTATTGTTGTCATTTTATTAAAAATCGAACACTTACTTTTGCAATTACTCTTCATCTTCTTCCTCTAGAGATTTCTCAGGTAAACCATATTTCGGACAACACATGCCCTCGGTACCGTCCATATTGAAACAAAATATTGTCCTTTCAATGTCAGTGGGTTCATGTGGTACAATGCCATGTACTTCTTTGAGTTCAGCCTCAGGGAACCAAGCGGGATCAGAGTCTTCTACCACCTTAATGCCGAATAATCTTAGAAAACAAGTTTTTTGTCAGAAAAAAATTCAAATAAATGTAATTCAATTCTACTACCTTAATATAGCCACAATAGGTATCCATAATATTGAAGATAATATCAATATAAAAGCAATAACTATACACCAATGTGGCCATTCCATTTTCTCGGTCATACCTTTGGCTGCTATCCAAGCGGGATAACTACTGCCTTCGGTTAACAATTGATAAAATGATGCCGTTAAAATGGTAATCATGGCACAAGGTGATAAATATTTCCAACAAAACATCCAATATAAACCGGGACGTGAACCAGTCATCATTTCTATATCATCGGAAAATCTTTAAGAAAAATGCTTAAGAATTATAAAAAAAATTAAAATCTTAATAAAACTTACCTTCTTATACCATAAATATAACTAATCGATAAACATTCAAATAAAGCAATAATCAATAAAGGAAAATTTCCCGCAAAACTGTCCATTAATTGAAATATATAACTACCCGCTCCATTAGCAAATGACATGGATATTAAACAGCAGGAAAAACATAAAGCCTGTAACAGAATTATATAATTAAGTAAATTGTTTCATTATTTGTGTAATATTGTATTTATTTACCCCAATTATCCATTCTTTGGGTAAATTCGGAAATAGTTTCATGTCTACTAATGAAGTTACCACACCTTCTAATGTACCAAATTGTGAATCGATGCCCAGGGTGAACAACATTAAGAAGAATAGAACTGCCCATAACTGTGCTCCCGGAAATTGATTAATGGCTTCTGTGAAGATAATAAATGCCAAACCCGTACCGGATGCACTCTGAAAAAATTAGATCCACATTATCTTACACAATGTGATGATATAGAAAATATGTAGTTAAGAATATAGAGAATCTATAGCCGAGACTATCAAGGATATATAGTTCAGACTATAGAGGATCTATAGTCCAGACTATTAAGAACTTATATTCCAGACTTTAGTGAATCTAGGGTCCAAACTATAGAGAATCGATAGTTCTAGACTCGAAGCTATAGCGAATCTAAAGTCCCAGACTGTATAGATAATCAATATTTTAGACTATAGAGAAGCTGTAGTCCAGTCTACAATGAATTTATGGTCCAGATTGTAGAGTATCAATAGTCCAGACTATAGAATTTTATTCATAGTGCAGACTTTGGAAAATCTACAGTCTAGACTACAGAAAATCTGCAGTCCAGACTATAGAGAATATATAGTCCAGATTATAAATAATCTATTGTCCAGACTATAGATAATCTCTACTCCAGATTATAGAGAATTTGTAGTCCAGTTAGAGAGAATCTAAAGTCCAGAATATATAGTCCCGACCATAGAGCATTTATAGTACGGACTATAGAGAGTTCATAAACCAGATTGTAGAGAATTTATAGTCCAGACTATATGGAGTCTATAGTCCAGACTATTGAAACTATAAAGTTCAGACATGAGATAATCTATGGTCCATACTCCAGAGAATCTGTAGTCCAGACTGTAGAGAATCCAGACTAAAGAGAATCTATAATCGAAATTATAGAGAATCTGTAGTCCATATTATAAAGAATCTATAGTCCAGTTTATATACCAAAAACTTACATTTGCCAATTCCTTTTCCAAATCACACACCGGTAAATTTGATGTCTTATTCAATGAAATCAAATGATTTCTATCCTCTGTGCAACGATCAAATGTCGCCGTAGCCTTAAAGCCAATTACGGAGAAAACCACAACACCAGCAAACATAGACGTACCACAATTGGTTAGAGACACCAAAATGGCATCACGATAACAATTATTATTAGCCGGATTATAAGAGCTAAAGGCGATGAGACCACCAAAAGCTAAACCCAAAGAAAAGAAAATTTGCGTGCCCGCTTCGAGCCAAACAACTGGATCTAATAAAGTTTCCCAACGAGGTGTGAACAAATGAGCGACACCATCAGAGGCACCTGAAAAAAAAAAAATCAAAATTATTAGAAAATAAAAAAAAATATTACAAAATTTTTTCAAATTAAAATTTATATTTGTTAATTTCATCATGGAAGTTATTTTTAATCATCAGATTCACCATCAACGTGATGTTATTGGTACTATTGGACGTGCTCGTCGCAAATGGAAGCAATTGTATCATTGGTTTCCCGAGCAACAACGTATTTTATATAAAGAAATGGATCGGATTTATAAGGAAACTAAGGAGAAGTATGATAAAGAAGTTTTTATGGATTATAGTAGAGAGAAACGCTTAAATAAGCGTATTATCAAAAATGTTTATCAACATGTTCGTGATAAAGAAGATTATCAGAAATTTGCCTGCTTAAAACCTATTTTGGATAAATACAATCGTTTTCCCCTATTGTACTACTATGAAGAGTGTGGCGAACCAGGATTTTGTCAGCAACAAAAGAATGCCGTAATGTGAGAAGTCTAATGAATGGTCGATAAAGGCTCATATCTTGCCAACAGTTCGTAATCTTTATTTAATCTCTAAAGCAAAGATCAAAATTGCAAAAACTTAAAATTTAGATTTCATACGTGTTAAAAAATATTTCAAGTGCTTCTCTAAATTAGGCGTATACTTCATATTTATATCAATAAATCATTAGCACGTATACGTACAGGTGTCGTTAATAAAATCCGTGCAATTTCACAACGTACAATAAAGACGAAGTTTTTTTATTTTATAATAAACATTACTTCCGGGAAAAATGGGATACATGGGTCTTTTTAACTCTTATATCAACTAGTGATGTCGATGGAACACAAACTAACCGATCCTAATGCGGGAACAATTAGCCGTCAAAACAGCAAAACTGGAAATGTTTATAAGAATGTTTATAAGAAAGTTTTAGCTCCTATTCAAAGTTGAAACTGTATAAAAATGCCACCCAGTAGGTGTTCCATTAGATGTAGTTCTTCAGTTTATCGATTACGAACAAACAATTATTTAAATAATTAAGTTCAGTTTATAATTGATCTTTCTCTGTAGAATGACTGTAGTGTTCAACTCTGTGAGACTAACTAACTAACTAACTAACTAACTAACTAACTAACTAACTAACTAACTAACTAACTAACTAACTAACTAACTAACTAACTAACTAACTAACTAACTAACTAACTAACTAACTAACTAACTAACTAACTAACTAACTAACTAACTAACTAACTAACTAACTAACTAACTAACTAACTAACTAACTAACTAACTAACTAACTAACTACTAACTAACTAACTAACTAACTAACTAACTAACTAACTAACTAACTAACTAACTAACTAACTAACTACTAACTAACTAACTAACTAACTAACTAACTAACTAACTAACTAACTAACTAACTAACTACTAACTAACTAACTAACTAACTAACTAACTACTAACTAACTAACTAACTAACTAACTAACTAACTAACTACTAACTAACTAACTAACTAACTAACTAACTAACTAACTAACTAACTACTAACTAACTACTACTAACTAACTAACTAACTAACTAACTAACTACTAACTAACTAACTAACTAACTAACTAACTAACTAACTACTAACTAACTAACTACTAACTAACTAACTAACTAACTAACTAACTAACTAACTAACTAACTAACTAACTACTAACTAACTAACTAACTACTAACTAACTAACTAACTAACTAACTACTACTAACTAACTAACTAACTAACTAACTAACTACTAACTAACTAACTAACTAACTAACTAACTAACTAACTAACTAACTAACTAACTAACTAACTAACTAACTAACTAACTAACTAACTAACTAACTAACTAACTAACTAACTAACTAACTAACTAACTAACTAACTAACTAACTAACTAACTAACTAACTAACTACTAACTAACTAACTAACTAACTAACTAACTAACTAACTAACTAACTAACTAACTAACTAACTAACTAACTAACTAACTAACTAACTAACTAACTAACTAACTAACTAACTAACTAACTAACTAACTAACTAACTAACTAACTAACTAACTAACTAACTAACTAACTAACTAACTACTAACTAACTAACTAACTACTAACTAACTAACTAACTAACTAACTAACTAACTAACTAACTAACTAACTAACTAACTAACTAACTAACTAACTAACTAACTAACTAACTAACTAACTAACTAACTAACTAACTAACTAACTAACTAACTAACTAACTAACTAACTAACTAACTAACTAACTAACTAACTAACTACTAACTAACTAACTAAACTACTAACTAACTAACTAACTAACTAACTAACTAACTACTAACTAACTAACTAACTAACTAACTAACTAACTGGGAACTAACTGCGAGGAATAAGCACACGTACAATTACGAAAATGACACATACTTAATAACACTGGTCTACAAAAAACAATAATTTTTTTTGCTCCTTTTAATTTTAGTACATGATAGTGATAGCTTCAGTGCTCTTGAAGCGAGGTGTATTTTTAAAATATTTCTAGGACGTCGAGTTTTTACGCGACATCTATTTTAATAATATTTTAATTAAATTTTTTTATCCTTAAGTGAACTATACCGGTAGTATCGTCGAACAACATTAATTTTTGTAACTTAATTTTTATATCTTCCTTCCTTAGCTTCCCCATTAATTCCCTTTTCAAAATGATGACATTAACATAAACATGTACAAATTACAAAAATCCTACTTACCCTTCAATGTGATGCCACGAAAGAAGAATATTATCAATACAACATATGGAAATATTGCTGTCATATAGACAATTTTACCCGATGATGTTATACCCTGCACCATACAAATGTAAACAAGAAACCATGATACAATCAATGCTATACCCATATGATAATTGAAATTTTCCGGTTCATTGACACTTTCCGAACATTGTAAGGTGGTGCGATACCAATAGTATTGTGTGGGTGATGAGGCCTAGAAAATCAATGACACAGAAATACACATTTAAACACGTTAGTATGTATTAAAATAATAACTATTAAAATATTATTGTGCCTACTTACCACACATTCGGGTTCATGATCATACGTATAATTGGCATAGAGACGTGTTGGACAATCTGCCCAAGGCAGTGGGGATTCAAAACTATGCAACAAGTAAATGAGGCACCAAGCTATAATTGTATTATAATACAATGCAACAATATAACTGACAACGGCCGACGACAGGCCAATGCCACCCAAGTACGGTGATACTTGACTCCATACACCAATCGCTCCCTTACGTAAACGTTGGCCAATAGCCAATTCTAAATAAAATATTGGTATACCCTGTATACACAACATTATAAAGTAGGGCACTAAGAATGCTCCACCACCATTCTTCTGGGCTAAGTAGGGAAAACGCCAAACATTACCAAGGCCAACGGCATATCTGCAAAAAAAAATACAGAAAGAAAGATACATTAACAAATGTCGTTACCAAAGTTATTTATCACAAATCCTACAATGAGAAATAATTTCATTTAAAACAGCCTCAAAAGGAAATGAACAAAAAATACCTGAAAATTGTGTGCCTGTACAATAACAAATTTATAGAGTCAAAAATTTTCTACAAAAGTTGTTTAAAATTTAATATCGTCCTCAAAGGAAAATGTCAAAGGTTGTGCAAATGTATTATTATTTTTTTTTGTTCTTTTCATCCCAAAAAAGTCGAAGTGCTAATTAAGAGAAGCGCCTATACATACATTACATAGAACCATTATTCCTTAAATTTGTCATTAAAGTACAGAAATGAGCCTTAAAGCCTCGAACATTAATAGAGTTCAATTTGAATTAGACATCTGCCATATTTCACACTATTTTGTTTCCTGAGCTATACATTGTTTCAAGAGGAACTAAAGGCTCGTTGGAAACGAATTCATATTCTTTGTTTACTCGTTATCTTTGCTTATTTACTATGGCAAGGATGGATTCAGAATAGTTGTCTAATAAGCGCTAATATGCGTAAATATAATCCATGCTTTTGATTTATATTATGCACCACTATGACCACGTCTCAGTAGCTTCAGTTACTTCAGTTAATGTTCATTGCAGCACCATCTAAAGTCAGTTCCATACGTTTTTGTTTCAAAGTTGTACGTAACTCAAATCCAATTTAACGTCCTAAGGTTTAAGGTTACAAGTCCGATTGTAAGGTATCTGCGGTGACTATGACAGAGTTACATTCCAGCATGATTGCTTACATTCCAAAGATGAGTCCACCTATGTGAACTTGATAAAGTCAAATCCAACTTTTTATATTTAATAAAGAAATTTAACTTTGTGGATGGATAAACTGCTCATATTAAATATAAATCAAGACAAATGATATAGACGTACGGGCTACAAGTTTTTTTTATCCGATGTAATAGGTTTTTGGGCTCATAAAATATAAGGTCCCCGATTGAGAGACCATGTGAACATGTGAACTCAACAAAACCAGTAACCTGTAACAGCGTCGGTAGGTTGAGATCCACTCTGCAATTCTGAGAATCTTATCTGAAGTATAATTGAATTAAAGGAGATCATGATTAAGACACCAAGATCACTGCATGCGATTTCATTAACTCGAAGATCAGTGGTAAAGGTTGTACAACTCAAATTAAGTTCCTGAGACCATTAGCTTTTATAACTTTAAAGAACTGATCCCAGATAGAATATCATATCCAAGGTGGGACTTCAGGATTCCCTTCCTACATGGATGGCTATAAACTGGGGTATAACAAGAGTCTGAAACCCCAACACTAGCTGCCTAGTAGAAGTTCGTGCAACAACGGAATGTGAAGCTGGATTAGACTAATTATAACGCTAAACAAAGGTAAACATATTTACCGACAGCCAGAAGGCAATTAGCGCGATACTGTAAGAGAGCATTAAGCGACTGTAAGAGCATTACGCAAAACCGTTCGGCTCTAAATTAAAAATTGGGCAAGACGGTGGGTAGACGATTACGTGAAATCTGAGAAAGAGTTGGACTATAAGATAATATTAACCGAATGCTCTCTCTTTCTTAGAATAAATATGGGGCCAACAAGAGTAAAAGCCAATTAGGACATCAGGTGATATGGTTTCATCTAGGACTGTGTTTCAATACAAAAGATAATCAACCGAAAACTCTCCCATAAATAAGCTTTGCATCATATGAGTATCAGGGCACTCAGGAACAATCGACAATGAATCAAGGAATATACTTTTTAAAGAGTTAGGAACTCGAAAAAGTTAACCTGATGCATGCAATACCGTTCGGCTTGACGATTGCTAAATTGAAAATATTGGCGAAATGATGTAAAGAACCCCAAAGATTGGGTAAGCCTAACGAGTGATGGACTGAAAGCCTCCGCAGGATGAGCAAGCCCTAGGTTTGTATATGGATTTCAGATACAACTGTACAAAATTGGACGAGCGGTTTCAGACATATATAGAGCATGAAATTATGTACAGGAAATTTAGTTTCTGAACATTAGACCCTTAGAGAACCAACAACTTTCTTCAAATATTGAAAAGATCGGTGAGACGTAGGTACCTTCTCCAATTCGATAGAATAAAGCAAACACTTGTAAAACATCAGATTAAGAGTCGTAAAGCTGAGGATTGGACTGGTTAATGAATGTCAAGTTCTTTATAAAAGTTAATGGGAAAAACTTTTGAACCAACGGTTAGAGTGTAAAGCAACCCTGCAACCATTTTGAAGAATAAAGCAATAATAATTATCATTATCCGATCAAAGTACTCTGATTTGTAGTCAACAAATTACAATTACTCACCCTATTGTCGCTAGTAGAAACATTATTTTACTATCCCAACTTTCACGTTCCTCCCCCTCCTTTTCGCCTTCCACAATATCAGCTGGCGCACTCTCGATGGCAGCCACCAATTCGGCCACGGCTTTACTGCTGCTCTGCGCTTCTGTTTCCTCCAATTCAGATGATTCATCGAAGGCATCTGACATAAATGCTTGATTTGTTGCCCCATACATGGGGGTGTGATGATGATGGGGACCATGATGATGACTACGCGGTCCACTGCCTATGCTCGTTGTACTATGTTGTGATACTAGACGTCCACGTAACTCCTATTGTTTGGAATGATAAGTAAAGAATAAACAAAAAGAGAAATTGAAATTACTTTATGTATGGTTAAGAACTATCTTTGGCAAGTAGAAATATCCCAGCAAAAAATGTTTGTATTTGTAACGAGTGGAAATAATAAAAATGTAAATTTAATTCATTCAAAAGAAAATTTCGAGCATTAATTCGAAAGTTTCGTAATAGACTCTTAAAATATTTAGAAGCTCATTTCCAATTTCACATTTCATATTGAAGCTCTTGTATTTCTAAATTCAATACAGAAAACTTTGATCTGTAAAAACACTTTGTTTGGATATTCATACATTAATAACGAGTAAAAGAATGGACGCCATTGCAACTTTTCATAACAGAATTCAAACCCTTTAAAGTAATGGCTGATTGAATGGAGAAATAAATGGTTGCACTAGTAAATGCATTAATGAATGAATGATTGTGTGCATGATTGGGCGAATGAGTGACTGATTGAATTGAAGCCATTATGTTTACTTACTCTTAATTCATGTTGATCAAGACTCTTTTGTGTTTTTAATATAATATCCCTGGAGCTTTGTCGTCTTAATAATTGTGCTGTATTTGCCATTTTTGTTGTGGTTGTTGTTTGTGATGATAATGAATTTTCGTTTCAGTTTGTTTTTCCGTAATATTATGAAGGATTTAAAAATAAGTTAAGCAATATTTTTTTCGTTTTCTATTATGACTGGGGCGGTTTTATTTCTATATATTTTGTGCGATATTTCTGTTTTTTTTTCTGAGTGCTTAATCTATCGATTAATTGTGATGGTGCTTACAGTTTTCTTAAATATTTTTCAAGTGCTGTTACATCTAGACAGGTGCATTTATTATTCAGTGATGTTTTTTTTTATAAAGTTTAAAAGATGCTTTTTATTTTAAGACATCCATTGTGATTTTCTAAAGTGTTGAAATAAAAAATAACATTTATAATGCAGGCCATAAATAAGAAAAAAATTACAAACTGGTTAGTAAAAAATTCAACAAAAAATATTTGAAAATAATAAAGAGTGCTTAAAATAGAATAATTTTTTTTCGAGAAAAAGTGAAATATTTAAACAATTTATTACAATTGTTACATAAAATAAATAAAGAAATGTTTATGCAGTACTTATTTTCGTTAGTTATTTAGTTAGTTAGTTAGTTAGTTAGTTAGTTAGTTAGTTAGTTAGTTAGTTAGTTAGTTAGTTAGTTAGTTAGTTAGTTAGTTGTTAGTTAGTTAGTTAGTTCGTTAGTTAGTTAGTTAGTTAGTTAGTTGTTAGTTAGTTAGTTAGTTAGTTAGTTTGTTTGTTAGTTACTTAGTTACTTAGTTAGTTAGTTAGTTAGTTAGTTAGTTAGTTAGTTAGTTAGTTAGTTTTAGTTAGTTATTTAGTTAGTTTTAGTTAGTTAGTTAGTTAGTTAGTTAGATAGTTAGTTAGTTAGTTAGTTAGTAGTTAGTTAGTTAGTTGTTAGTTAGTTAGTTAGTTTGTTTGTTAGTTACTTAGTTACTTACTAGTTAGTTAGTTAGTTAGTTAGTTAGTTAGTTAGTTAGTTAGTTGTTAGTTAGTTAGTTAGTTAGTTGTTAGTTAGTTAGTTAGTTAGTTACTTAGTTAGTTAGTTAGTTAGTTAGTTAGTTACTTAGTTAGTTAGTTAGTTAGTTAGTTTTGTTAGTTAGTTGTTACTTAGTTAGTTATTGTTAGTTAGTTTGTTAGTTAGTTAGTTACTTAGTTAGTTAGTTAGTTAGTTAGTTAGTTAGTTAGTTAGTTAGTTAGTTAGTTAGTTAGTTAGTTAGTTAGTTAGTTAGTTAGTTAGTTAGTAGTTAGTTAGTTAGTTCTTAGTTAGTTAGTTAGTTAGTTAGTTAGTTAGGTAGTTAGTTAGTTAGTTAGTTAGTCAGTTAGTTAGTTAGTAGTTAGTTAGTTAGTTAGTTAGTAGTTAGTTAGTTAGTAGTTAGTTAGTTTGTTTGTTGTTTGTGTTTGTTGTTTTGTTGGTTTGTTTGTTTGTTTGTGTTTGGTTGTTGTTTGTTGTTTGTTTGTTGTTGTTTGGTTGTGTTGTTTGTTTGTTTGTTGTTTGTTGTTGTTTGGTTTGTTTGTTTGTTGGTTTGTTTGGTTGTGTTTGTTTGTTTTGTTTGTGTTGTGTGTTTGTTGTGTTTTTGTTTGTTTGTTTGTTGTTTGTTTGGTTTGTTGTTTGTTGTTGTTGTTGTTTGTGTTTGTTTGTTTGTTGTTTGTTTTGTTTGTTGTTTGTTTGTTTGTTTGTTTGTTGTTTGTTTGTTTGTTGTTGGTTTTTGTTTGTTGTTTGTTTGTTGTTTGTTGTTTGTTTGTTTTGTGTTGTTGTTGGTGTGTGTTGTTTGTTTGTTGTTGTTGTTTGTTGTTGTTTTTGTTGGTTGTTGTTTGTTTGTTTGTTTGTTTGTTTGTTTGTTTGTTGTTGTTTGTTGTTTGGTTTGTTTGTTTGTGTGTTGTTGTGTGTTGTTTGTTTGTTGTTTGTGTTTGTGGTTTGTTGGTGTTGTTTGTTTGTTTGTTTGTTGTTTGTTTGTTTGTTGTTGGTGTTGTTGTTTGTGTGTTGTTTGTTTGTTTGTTTGTTTGTTTGTTGTGTGTTGTTTGTGTTTGTTGGTTGTTGTTTGTTTGTTTGTTTGTTTGTTGTGGTTGTTTGTTTGTTTGTTTGTTTGTTTGTTGTTTGTTTGTGTTTGTGTTTGTTGTTGTTTGTTTGTTTGTTTGTTGTTGTTTGTTGTTTGTTGTGTTTGTTTGTTGTTTGTTTGTTTGTTTGTTGTTTGTGTGTTGTTGTTTGTTGGTTTGTTTGTTTGTTGTTTGTTGTGTTTGTTTGTTTGTTGGTTGTTGTTTGTTTGTTTGTTGTTTGTTTGTTTGTTTTGTTTGTTGGTTTGTTTGTTTTTGTGTGTTTTTGTTGTTGTTTGTTTGTTTGTGTTTGTGTGTTGTTAGTTAGTTAGTTAGTTAGTTAGTTAGTTAGTTAGTTAGTAGTTAGTAGTTAGTTAGTAGTTAGTTAGTTTAGTTAGTAGTTAGTTAGTTAGTTAGTTCGTTAGTAGTAGTTAGTTAGTTAGTTAGTTAGTAGTAGTTAGTTAGTTAGTTAGTTAGTTAGTTAGTTAGTTAGGTTAGTTAGTAGTAGTTAGTTAGTTAGTTAGTTAGTTAGTTAGTTAGTAGTTAGTTAGTAGTTAGTTCGCTTAGTTAGTTAGTTAGTAGTAGTTAGTAGTTAGTTAGTTAGTTAGTTAGTTAGTTAGTTAGTTAGTTAGTTAGTTAGTTAGTTAGTTAGTATTAGTTAGTTAGTTCGTTAAGTTTAGTTAGTTAGTAGTTAGTTAGTTAGTAGTTAGTTAGTTAGTTAGTTAGTTAGTTAGTTAGTTAGTTAGTTAGTTAGTTTAGTTAGTTAGTTAGTTAGTTAGTTAGTTAGTTCGTTAGTAGTAGTTAGTTAGTTAGTTAGTTAGTTAGTTAGTTAGTTAGTTAGTTAGTTAGTTAGTTAGTTAGTTAGTTAGTAGTTAGTTAGTTAGTTAGTTAGTTAGTTAGTTAGCTTAGTTAGTAGTTAGTTAGTTAGTTAGTTAGTTAGTGAGTTAGTTAGTTAGTTAGTTAGTTAGTTAGTAGTTAGTTAGTAGTTGTAGTAGTTAGTAGTTAGTTAGTTAGTTAGTTAGTTAGTTAGTTAGTTAGTTAGTTAGTTAGTTAGTTAGTTAGTAGTTAGTTAGTTAGTTAGTTAGTTAGTTAGTTAGTAGTTAGTGAGTTAGTTAGTTAGTTAGTTAGTTAGTAGTAGTTAGTTAGTAGTTAGTTAGTTAGTTAGAGTTAGTTAGTTAGTTAGTTAGTTAGTTAGTTAGTTAGTTAGTAGTTAGTTAGTTAGTAGTTAGTTAGTTAGTAGTTAGTTAGTAGTTAGTTAGTTAGTTAGTTAGTTAGTTAGTTAGTTTAGTTAGTTAGTTAGTTTAGTTAGTAGTTAGTTAGTTAGTTAGTTAGTTAGTTAGTTAGTAGTTAGGTAGTTAGTTAGTTAGTTAGTTAGTAGTTAGTTAGTTAGTTAGTTAGTTAGTAGTTAGTTAGTTAGTTAGTTAGTTAGTTAGTTAGTTAGTTAGTTAGTTAGTTAGTAGTTAGTTAGTTAGTTAGTTAGTTAGTTCTTTAGTTACGTTAGTAGTTAGTTCGTTAGTTAGTTATGCTAGTTAGGTTAGTTAGTTAGTTAGTTAGTTAGGTAGTTAGGTTATTAGTTAGTTAGTTTCTAGTTAAGTTAGTTCGTTAGTTAGTGTTAGTTAGTTAAGTTTAGTCGTTTAGTTAGTTAGCTTAGTTAGTTAGTTAGTTTAGTTAGTAGTTCGTAGTTAGTTTATTCGTTATAGTGTTCGTTAGTTAGTTACGGTTAGTATAGTTAGTTTAGTTATAGTTAGTTAGAGTAGTTAGTTAGTTAGTTAGTAGTAGTTAGTTAGTAGTAGTTAGTTGTTAGTTTAGTCGTTAGTTAGTATTAGTTAGTTCGTTAGTTAGTTAGTTAGTTAGTTAGTTAGTTAGTTAGTTAGTGTAGTAGTTAGTTAGTTAGTTAGTTAGTTAGTTAGTAGTTAGTTAGTTAGTTAGTTAGTTAGTTAGTTAGTTAGTAGTTAGTTAGTTAGTTAGTTAGTTAGTTAGTTAGTTAGTTAGTTAGTTAGTTAGTAGTTCGTTAGTTAGTTAGTTAGTTAGTTAGTTAGTTAGTTAGTTAGTTAGTTAGTTAGTTAGTTAGTTAGTTAGTAGTTAGTTAGTTAGTTAGTTAGTTAGTTAGTTAGTTAGTAGTAGTTAGTTAGTAGTTAGTTAGTTAGTTAGTTAGTTAGTTCGTTAGTAGTTAGTTAGTTAGTTAGTTAGTTAGTTAGTAGTTAGTTAGTTAGTAGTTAGTAGTAGTTGTTAGTTAGTTAGTTAGTTAGTTAGTTAGTTAGTTAGGTTAGTTAGTTAGTAGTTAGTAGTTAGTTAGTTAGTTAGTTAGTTAGTAGTTAGTTAGTAGTTAGTTAGTTAGTAGTTAGTTAGTTAGTAGTTAGTTAGTTAGTTAGTTAGTTAGTTAGTTAGTTAGTTAGTTAGTTAGTTAGTTAGTTAGTTAGTTAGTAGTTAGTAGTTAGTTAGTTAGTTAGTTAGTTAGTGTAGTTAGTTAGTTAGTTAGTTAGTTAGTAGTTAGTTAGTTAGTTAGTTAGTTAGTTAGTAGTTAGTTAGTTAGTTAGTTAGTAGTTAGTTAGTTAGTTAGTAGTTAGTTAGTTAGTTAGTAAGTTAGTTAGTTAGTTAGTTAGTTAGTTAGTTAGTAGGTTAGTTAGTTAGTTAGTTAGTTAGTTAGTTAGTAGTTAGTTAGTTAGTTAGTGTTAGTTAGTTAGTTAGTTAGTTAGTAGTTAGTTAGTTAGTTTAGTAGTTAGTTAGTTAGTTAGTTAGTTAGTGTTAGTTAGTTAGTTAGTTAGTAGTTAGTTAGTTAGTTAGTTAGTTAGTTAGTTAGTTCGTTAGTTAGTTAGTTAGTTAGTTAGTAGTAGTTAGTTAGTTAGTTAGTTAGTAGTTAGTTAGTTAGTTAGTTAGTTAGTTAGTTAGTTAGTTAGTTAGTTAGTTAGTGTTAGTTAGTTAGTTAGTAGTAGTTAGTAGTTAGTTAGTTAGTTAGTTAGTTAGTTAGTTAGTTAGTTAGTTAGTTAGTTAGTTAGTTAGTTAGTTAGTAGTTAGTAGTTAGTTAGTAGTTAGTTAGTTCGTTAGTTAGTTAGTTAGTAGTTAGTTAGTTAGTCTTAGTTAGTTATAGTTAGTTAGTAGTTCACCGCAAGGGGACCTACTTGATTAAATAATAATGAGCAACCCTATATATTGGAGGATTATATATTAACACGATGCGAGTCAGATCGCAAATCTGATGCAGAAATGTAAGAGAAGATTTCATTATATTAAAGTACTTTGCCACAGCAAAATCAAAAAAATGTCTACTGATCGTGATTTTAAAGTGATTATTCTGTTTAAATTAATTATCAATTT